ATGTGGTGGACATGATAAAATTTTCGACTCAAGGGTTTGAGTTCGAATATACTGTTAGGAACATGCCAATCAAGTGGGCTTGAGTGCACGCGCAGAGTCTGGTGGAGTGTGTGGGCGTTGACGAAGCTATTGGCAACGTCACCCTTGAGTCAGAGCCCAAGGATCTGGATGGACAGAACGGAGTTCTGTCAGAGAAGTGAACAGAAGTATCCTTCGGAGCAGAATCCGATGGATGAAATAGGGGGGAGTGAGTACGAAGTGTAGATGGCTTATCCAAGTTGATATTCGAACTGAGTAGTTACAGTGATATACATGGCTTTATATACTAATGGTAGCTAATTCCGAGTTGGGTTCCATTGGGTTCCGGTGTGAATATTCGCTACCAAGTTTGGGGTCTAGGTATTACAATATGAAATACAGATGTGAAATGATAATAGTGAAATGAAATTAGTAGGTAATGGGAAGCGGCCGGAGTCCAGTGGGTAGCATGATAGAATTCGTGGTTGGTTGAGGTGACATGGAGGCCGGCAGCATGCACGTAACAACTCCTGGTACTCCCATATCCTCTCTTCTCAGGCTAACCTGTTTACTTCTTCTTTGTCTGTATCTTCTTGTGAGTCATATGGTGGTCTCCTGGGGGGTTCACTGCTCTTGGTCTCTTCTTCCTCATCCCCGTCATCCTTGAGGAGAGAATCGACAGGCTGGTTGTAGATGCTCTCCATAATCCCTTGGAGTATTGTCACTTCACTCCCCTAGCTGGATACTTGGTCCAGCGATTGAGGTGCCCTTATAGGTGGTAGCTGACTGGCTCCCAATATGAGAGTCATACTGGTTTCCTCCAGTCACTCTTGCCACCTTCACTCTATTATGATAGAGGTGGACATTGTGTCGGTAGTCATCATCGATAAGTTGTCCAACAACTCTACTTCCAAGAAAGCCTCAGAGGGCACAGGTGGAGATGTGAGCATTTCCAGGGACTCATAATCCATAGTGCCTAAGGATGGACTCATTGCTTCTAAAAGCAGAGTCAGCACTGGGAGTTTGTGAGGAGAGAGAATACTGCAGAGTTGGAGGCCTTAGGTATCGCCTGGTTTGAGTGCTGTCAGCCCAGTATTCTGGAACTCTGCTGCTCAGAGTATTAGGCTCTCAGAAGACTGGGGCAGAGGGGTCGGCTCGTACAGGAGCAAGGATGCTTGTGACCTCGGATCGTAATCTGTACCAGTTTTCGATGTTAGCCCTCTCCAGGCGGGCTCTTTTGACTTCTCACTGCTCATTTCTGTGGTGCTCATCATACTGCATGGCCTCCTACCTCTGCTGCTCATAGACAGTGGCCTGTTTCTCTGACTTGTGATGTACTGACTGCAGCTCATTCTGCTGCCTTTGCTCCTCTTATTGAACAGCATTGTCATAGTTAAATGGGATGGTGAAGTCCCAGGTCGGAAAGTACCAATGGACAGTTTCTTCCCATACTTGTCATTGCTGCTCATCATCTGAGAGAATTCTCCTCACCCTGGAACTGGCTCTGGTGGAGGGACAGAGGCTGTGAGACTGGCCTTAAAGAGATCTAGTGCCGGACTGTCGAGCCATTTGAGAGGTATCAAGAGAGTCCCTGGCATGGTCAGCAATCCCATGGGTTTAGAAGGTAGAAGAGGGGGAGAGGGACTGCTGGAAGAAGTCTTCTGGGAGATCCTCATCTTCATGGTTGAGAGGGGGTCCTGGTATGAGTATACCATGCCCTCCTGAGAAGCTAGCATCTGGGTTTCCAGATCAGAGAGAACATTGTCCTCCCACTTCTTCTTGACCATTCCTCTGATACATGCTGCTAGGCCCAGCTTCTGGGGGCTGGTAGATCGTTCTTCAGAATTCGGAGATGTTATGTAGAGGAAGGTCTGGGATTACATTTCATAGGATTTCACAGATGTGTAAAAACTCATTGTAGTGTCTGAGAGCTCAGGCAATGATTGAATGGCATCTCCGGCACAGCTGGATGATCACCAACAATCCTATCAATGTTCTGATGATGGAAGAGAGGAGTTTGAAGAACTCATGGTTGAAATTTGGGTCAGTAGAGATTGTAGGAGGCATTCAGTTTCTCAGCACAATTGGGCCTGAGAAAGAGAAGTCTAAGCTTCAAGCTAATTATTAGGCCCAAGCATCATGTGAGTGATTCCACATAATAAACAGCTGTCCCTTTGCACTTTGAAAGATCAGCTGAGTTCACTGAATGTGTGTTTCACTCATTGTGACTCAAGATCAGATATAGACTCGAGATAAAATGGTGAATATAAACTTTAGCTCGAAGCTGGGGTTTAGCCAGCTGGAGCCTTTCTCTTAAATACTGTTCATGTACTACTAATAATACTACATGCTTATTGTGGGCTCCTCTGTCCATTGTGCTCTTTGTCCTTAGTCATTGTTACTGTACATAAAAGGGTATTGTTTATGGTCATCGTTGGTCACTAGAGTGGATAGGTTTGTCTTGTTGTGCTGACTAAGCATTATCCCATGCTTCTAAGTGCCAGGCTAGATGCTATGACTAAGCATAAATAGGGGTTAAAAGAAAATAGGAAATGAGAAAATCATAACAGTTTAGCAAGTTGTTCAAACTCATCAATATCTTGTCTCTCATTTGAAGATTCTTTATCTTCTGTTTATAGACTTTCTGGATGGCTAGGTCAATGAATTTATCATGTACCATTTGTTTGAAGACTGGCCTGAATAGTAGATGATGGTACTCTCTGATTGTAGAATAAAGGTTTTGACTTTTCAAAGTCTACCAGATCTTGGTCTTGTCCTTAAAATAAAATGCAGCAAAGATGACCTAATAAATGTGTTACGATTTTCCTTTTTTCCTTTTCTTTTACCCCTATTTAGGCTTAGTCATAGCACAAGACCACGGGAAAAGGCTTAGTAAGCACAACCGAAC